GCACCTTAGTCCTCAAGCTGACATCTTTGCTCTTCAACACTTTAAAAAGGTCTTGTGCAGCAGATTTGCCCAATGCAATACATTGTTTGATATCTTGACTGCTGCTTCCGTGAGTGTTGATCGTTGATCCAAGAAGAATGAAGGCCTTGAGAGGTGGCACCAAAATAACTTATCAATTTTTGTGTGCAACTTCAGCAGAAATTTGTTTTTTAAAAAAATAAAAATATTCCTGTAATTAGTTATAACAAGAAAATCATTTTTCCTAAGTGTGGTAATGTAGCATAAGCACTGGACTGCTAACCCCAAGGTCAGCAGTTTAAACCCACCAACCACTCCATGGAAACCCTATACAGGGTTGCTATGAGTTGGAACTGACCCGACAGCACACCACCACCAGCAGATTGAAACTATATTCCTATAGTATACCTACAAGGTTAAAACCCTATGCCAATTTACTTTATGAACCTTCTAATGTGATCAGTCAGAGCTGGCATTATGTAGTGGGCCTCCTGAGGAGGGGCGTGGGGGGGCTAAGAAGGCCAAAGTCTGAAGGACAGTGGTTAAGTAAGAAGCTATTTCCAGAGTTCAAGAAAGAGCAGGGTTTGTGTGTGGAGAGGAGGTTTGGGGGGTGGGATGGTGGGGGGCGGTGGGAGTAAGAAGACTTTGTTCTAGGATGACAGAGAGAATGAAAAGGCGAGCATGAGGGCCCTAATGTAGGAGTGTCAGGTGACTGGACGTGGGGCTAAGAGGAAGACAGGGAAGCAAGGAGGAGGAATCCATTTACTAATGGAATATGAGAGAGTGTACAGGAAAGAGGAAGACAGAAGCAAGGAGGAGGAGTCCATTTACTAATGGGAATATGAGAAAGTGTACATGCAGGTGTGTGTAGGGGTAAAAGGAAAAGAGAAGAAAAGAATGGAGCTCTGTTTGGGACTTGGAGCCCAAGGCCTTTTGTTATTGCTGTTATTAGGTGCCGTTGAATCACTACCGACTCATAGCCACCCTATGCACAACAGAATGAAACACTTCCCTTATCCTGGGCCAACCTCACAATTGTTGCCATGCTTGAGTCCATCGATGCTGCCACTTTGCCAATCCATCTCACTGGGGATCTTGCTCTTTTTCTCTGACCCTCCACCTTACCAAACATGATATCCTTCTTCAGCGACTGGTCCCTCCTGACAATAGGTCCAAAATATGAGAGACGAAATTTGGCAATCTTGGAGGCCTTTTAGAAGACCCCAAACTGCAAGTTCGGCAGTTCAAGCTCACCAGCAGCTTCTTGGAAACTCTATACAGGGTCGCTATGAGTCAGAACTGGCTCCATGGTACTTAACAACAACAACAACAAAAATGGATGGGACTCACATTTGACTCTGGGGAGCGATGTCAAGCTTGGCAGACTTCAGTGTGGACACGAACCTGCCTGTTGAAGAGTGATGAAGATGTTTACAAACAAAGGAAAAGATGTAGGCGGACACAGCCCTGAAATGTAAGAAGGAATGGCCCTGAGGCCCCGAGGGTCCCTAGGATCAAGGGGCAGTTGTGAGGGGCTGGGGCATAACTAAGCCCCCAGCCTGGGACAAGCCCCGATGTGCACTTTAAGGTCCATTTCTAAATGTGGCTCCCCACTGCAGCAGTAAAGAAATCAAACGACATATTGCATTAGGAAAATCTGCTGCACAAGACCTTTTTAAAGTGTCGAAGAACGAAGATGTCAGCTTGAGGATTAAGGTGCTCCTGACCTAAGCCATGGTATTTTCAATAACCTCATATAAGGAAGACCGTAGAAGAATTGATGCCTTTGAGTTGTGGTGTTGGAAGAGAATATTGAAAGTGCCATAGGCTGCCAAAAGAACCAATAGATCTGTTTTGGAAGAAGTGCAGCCAAAGTGCTCCTTGGAGGCCAAGATGGTTAAACTTTGTCTCTCATACTTCAGAGACATATTGTCAGGAGCGACCAGTGGCTGAAGAAGGATATCGTGTTTGGTAAGGTGGAGGGTGAGAGAAAAAGAGGAAGACCCCCAATGAGATGGATTGGCCAAGTGGCAGCATCGATGGACTCAAGCGTGGCAACAGTAGTGAGGTTGGCCCGGGATCGGACATTGTTTCATTCTGCTGTGCATAGGTCGCTTTGAGTTGGTACCGACTCGATGGCACCTAACAACAACAACTGCAGCTTCACCCTTTACTGAACCCGCCCCAGGCCCTGCCCCTAGGTCTGCTACTCCATTTTCCCTGGCGACGATTGGTGAATGCGCCCTTCTTTTGCTAGAGAAGTATCCTATGACTATCACTGACTTCTCCCTGAGCCGGGCCTTTATGTTGCTATGACAACAGCCCATCGACAACAGCTGGTGACTGCCACTTGCTCCTTCCAGCGTCTTCAACCCCGCCCCTTCTTTCACCCGTCTAGGTGAGGGAGAGAGGCGGGGCTGGCTGCGTCTCCCTGGCAACGTAGGACGCGGCGGAGCTGGAGGCCGGTTCTCCTGGGATAGAGACAACGAAGCGGCGGCAGCAACGGAGGGGAGCTAGACTGGAGCGAGGCCATGTCGGAACTGGGCTCGGAGGAGTTGGAGGAGGAGGGAGACAATGATCTTGGGGTGAGAGTTCCTGGGGAGGGAGAAATTGCCTGGAGGCGGGTTCTGAGGGTTGGGTGGCAAGGGGTCAGAATTACAATCCTCAGGCACCCCAACTGATACAGGGACCACGCTGCCTACACCAGGCGCTGCTTCTGGGAGGCAGTTGTGAAAGTTGAAACTTCCGGACGTCGCATCCCTTACTCTATGAAAGGCAGTTTCCAAGTCAAAGTCTTGGGAAAGCTCACCCCTCTCTTCCCCCCTCAGCCCCACCTTACTCCACCAACCAAAAATTCCTTGTGCGCCCTGGGTTCCCAAGTCCTAACTGTCGTACTGTCCTTGAATCAGTCATTTCTGTGTCTGAGCTTCGCTCACCAGGACTAATGTTGTTGTCAGGTGCCATCCAGTCGGAACCGACTCATAGCGACCCCATCCACAGCAGAAAGAAACAATGTCCGATCCTGGGCCAACCTCACTACCGCCGCCACACTTGACGCCATCAATGATGCCACCTGGCCAATCCATCTCTTTGGGAGGTCTTCCTCTTTTTCTCTGACCCTCCACCTTACCAAACATGACATCCTTCTCCAGCGACTGGTCCCTCCGGACAATATGTCCAAAGTATGAGAGGTGAAGCCTAGCCATCTTGGCCACCAAGGAGCACTCTGGTTGCACTTCTTCCAAAACAGATCTATTGGTTCTTTTGGCAGTCCATGGCACTTTCAGTATTCTCCTCCAACACCACAACCCAGAACTAATGTTGTTGTTAAGTGCCGTCGCGTCGGTTCCGACCCATAGAGACCCTGTACAGGGTTTCCGAGGGTGTAAATCTTTACGAGAGTAGAAAGCCTCATCTTTCTCCCGTGGAGCGGCTGGTAGTTTCGAACCGCTGACTTTAAGGTTCGCAGCCCGATTCGTAGCCACTACGCTACCAGAGGAAGGAAATCTGCCTCTTTGCAGCCTCCAAATGCTGAGAGACCCCAGGCTCAGAGATACTACTGAGGTTTTGTTAGGTGCTGTTGAGTCAGTTCTAACACACAGCAACCCTATGTATAACAGAACAAAACATTATCTGGTCCTGGACCATCCTCACAACCTTGCCTATGTTTGAGCCCATTGATGCAGCCACTGTATCAGTCCATCTCTCTGAGGGTCTTCCTTTTTTCACTGAACTTTTACTTTATCAAGCATGATGTCCTTCTCCAGGCACTGGTCCCTAGTATGCAATGTGTATGCAGTATGTCCAAAGTATGTGAGAAAAAGTCTCTCCATCCTTGAATCTAAGAAGCATACCACTATCTGAGATGTTATGTAAGCCTATAATCACAAGTGCTTTCTTCAGTTCAGTGTGAACTGATTGAGTTCTTGGAACTAGCCTCTGGTTTTAGGCATTAGAAAAACAGATAATTTTCTCTGAAAGAGGGGCAAGAACTTCCTGCCCCCCTCCTTTTCTTCCCTAGGAGTGCTTGAGTTTATTTGTTTATAGAAAAAAATATATGTAACAAAACATTTGCCATTTCAACTTTCTTCCCATATACAATTCAATGACATTAAATTATGTTCCTCATGCTGTATAATCATCATTGTTAACTGTTTTCAAAATTTCAAATCACCTTTAATGGAAGCTCAGTGTCCCTGAAGCAGAGTTCTTTCCCCCTCCTGCCTGCCCGCCTCTGGTGAATAAAGACAAATGAACTTGGGTCTTTATTCACCTGCCTATTTTAGGTATTTTGTATAAGTGGAATCATACAATACTTGTCCTTTTGTGACTGCCTTAATTTTTTCTGGATTATTGGGTGAATATTTTAAACTAATCTTTTGCTTTTCAGTGAAGCCCCAGGTGTGGGGTTTGAACAACACCTGGGTGCATGGGGTTAGCCCAGTGTGTATATACACATTTTGGGGACCTACGGCTTATAAGACAATGTTTCTGAATGACACTAATGGTTAAGGTTTGCAGTTTGACCCCACACAGAGACACCTTGAAAGATGGGCTTGCAATCTACTTCTGAAAGGTCACAGCCATGAAAAACCTATAGAGCAGTTCTACCCGGCACACATAGCATTGCCATGAATCAGAATCGATGTGTTGTTGGCCCCTGTACTCAGGAGCGCACCTGATTCAAAGCCAGCCTTCTGGAGTTCTTTGTTGAACAAGGAGACTGCTAGTGGGCCCACATGAGGGAGCAAGACTGATGACCAAGGGTGGCCAAAGTGAAGGGCATCCTACGATGATCAAGCAGTCTCTCTTCATGTGGATGACTTTTGCTTCTGCCAGTAGACTGATGCCTGCCTTATCTTTATACCCAGACCAGCTCTCTCTCCTGAAATCCAGACCCATATGGTAAATCTAAACACTGACATTTAGTTGGGTGTTGTTAGATTGTTGAGATTTTGTGATGGTTTCTCACAGCCCAATAACTACCTTCTTTCCTGACAATTTATCTTAGAGGTAACTGTCCTGACTTTCTTCTTCAGTTCCTTTTTTTTTTTTTAAATTGGCCCTCTCGTTGAAGTAACTCCCAGCCACTTCCTTCATTCTGTACCCTCCGCTCCTCCTTCAGGATTCCTGTTTCCTGGCAATGCTGCTTTGCATGCTTAGCTCTAGCTGACCAGTGTCTCTCTGCATCCTCACAAAGCCTTCTGCAGACCTCTCTCCTCATAGGTCACATGGCTGCAACTGTCCTCTCTTTGTGTTCCCTACCGTGCCAAGAGCTCTTGGAGGACAGAGACCTCATCCTTCTCTTGCCATGTGTGGAGAATATGTTACCTGGTATGTGCTTGTCATCTAGCCTAGGATGCAGCTGTGATGAATCCTGGTGAGATTAGACAACCGGAAGTCATCTGATTTCCAGCCTCAGCTTGCCATAGTCAGCTAGGTATCTCGCTGTCCTTGGAATGGTAGAATCATATGCAAGAGAAGTCTACTGAGGCTAATTTGAAGAAGTACTTGTTAACTGGTGAAACTGAGAAATGGAGATAATATTATCTATTTTATTGTTGTTGTTGACTGCCCGTGAGTTGGGCCTGAGTCATGGCTAACCCCATGCACAAGGAAATGGGACGTTGCCTGGTCCTGAGCCATCCCTATGATTGGCTGCAAACTAGATCATTGTGACCCATAGGCTTTCTGTTGGCTGATTTTCAGAAGCAGATAGTGTGGCCTTTCTTCCTAATCTGTCTTCGTCTGGAAGTTCTGCTGAAACTTGTTCAACATGGAAGACTCCACTGATGGATGTTCGGTGTTAGTACATGAGGTGCATTGAGTTGGTATTAAACATGGGTCTGCCACATGAAAGGCAAGAATTCTTCCACTGAAACACCAATGTTCCCTAATATCTACTCCTCCCTGCCCTATTTGCCATGGAGTCAGCCCTGACTCATAACACCCCAATATGTGTCAGAGTAGAATTGTAATCAATAGGATTCTCAATAGGTGATTTTTCAGAAATCGATTGCCAGGCATTTCTTCTGAGGTACCTCCTGGTGGACTTGAACCTCCAACCTTTTGTGTAGCCACTAAGTATGTTAACTATTTGCACCAATAGGAAATTGAATTAAGAGGACCTTTTTTGTAAACCCGGAATCCAGTTTACTCCTTAGCTACTTCCTCTACTATCCCCCTCCCATCGGAGCTTCCTTGAACAATAAAGCTGGCTTCTGAACACACACTCTAGGGCATTTGCATTTTAACTTCTGGATTTTTTGAGGAAACAAATGGAGAAGGTATTTGTGTGGCCTTGGATCTGTTCACCTGCATATGCAATTAATTTCAAGCATATTCCTATAAAGAACATGCCTGGAAGTACCTAGTAATTTTCATAAATCGACTGATTTTGTTTATAGTATAGGTGAAGGTGGTGGTGAGTTGTTTCAGTATCCGTCTCACACAAACATTTTGAAACCCAAATCTGTCATGGATTATTTCATAGGTAGAGCCATGACTGATTTTCAAATGTTTTGCCACATAATCTACCGTCACTCGTCTATTCAACAGAATCATTTCACTTGCATGCTCAATGATGTCATTGATGTGGATGGTTTTAATGTAGCTGGAGTGCAGATAATTTTTGACTTATCCTCTGCCCAGCCCTGTGCCATCCATCCTTACAATTGTTGTTATGTTTGGGACCATAGTTGCAGCGACTGTGTCTATCTAGCTCAGTGAGGATTTTCCTCTTTTTGCTGGCCTTCTTCTTCACTAAGCATGATGTCTTTCTCCAGTGGCTGGTTCCTCCAGATGATACACCAAAGTATGTGTGAAATCCTCACCCATAAGCCATCCTTACTTATAAGGAGCATTCTGACTGTACTTCTTTCAAGATTGATTTGTGTATTCTTGTAGCAGTGTGTTCAGTGATCTTCATCAACACCATCATTCAAATACATCAATGGTAGAGTATATAAAATGATTTGAACATGGGGAGTGCTTAAGAACTGATAGCTGTCACAATGTATTTCCCTAGGAATATGAAGGGGAACGGAATGAAGCAGGTGAACGTCACGGGCAGGGGAGAGCCAGACTGCCCAATGGGGACACCTATGAAGGGAGGTATGAATTTGGTAAAAGACATGGCCAGGTAAGAACCATAACTTGAGTGGAGGGTTTTCTATTTATCTGGGTGTTGATTCTGTTAGCAAGTTAAGACATTTAGAAATGACTTAAGTTATTTAATCAATGTGTTTCAGGGGATCTACAAATTTAAAAATGGTGCTCGGTACATTGGAGAATATTTAAAAAATAAAAAGCATGGTCAAGGCACTTTTATATATCCAGATGGATCACGATATGAAGGTAAAATGTTTTGCTAAATCCACCTTTTTTTTCTTTTTTTCATTGTGAAGTTTTTTTTTCTTTTGTGATTGAACTTATCTGTAATTCAGTAGAGGGTTAATGCTCTCCAGACCAGCCAGTCATTCAGTAGACACAAACTGTGCTCTTAGGTTCATGGATTAGACCAAAAAAAAAGGAGACAGAAATGATTTAGAGAATGCATAAATGGATTTCTGTCATGGTCCTGGTTTTTACTAAGTGTACACAATCACACAAAAAGGTTATTGTTAGCTGCCACTGAGTCAACTCCAACCCATGGGCACCCCATGTGTGTTAGAGTAGAATGTTCATTTAACCCTAAGGAGAGACCAAGGTAAAGGTTCTGAACCTGAGACCCTTATGTGTGTTAGAGCCAAAGGTTTCCATTGGCTCATTTTTCAGAAGTAGATGTGCAGGCCTTTCTTCCAAGGTGGAGGTAACTGATACGCTCAAAGAGGAAAGAGGAGGGAAGTGGATGATGTGGAGTCAACTGGATTGAGATGCAGGAGAGAATCTGATTAGTCCACATTGCAAACTATGGCTGTCTCTAAGACTAGTACATCCTCTCCCGTGCACCAATTTGCTGGGGAGCAAGTGACAAGGGAGGTTGTTGGGTGAGCACAGACGTGGGAGATGGTTAAACCAAGACTTCAGAGAGTTGGCATTAACTCCATATCAAAGGGGTTTAGAGTACCATTTGTTTGGAGTCCCAGTGATACAAATGGTTAATGCACTAAGCTGCTAAACAAAAAAAGTGAGATTTTTTTAGCGGACCCAGAGGCACCTCAGAAGAAAGAGCTGGTGATTTACTTCCCAAAACTCAGCCTTGAAAATCCTGTGGAGAGTATGATTCTATTTTAGAAAGAACAAACCTTTGAGCATCCAGTAATTTTCATAGATTGGTTGATTTTGCTTGCAGCGTAGATTATTAGCATCATGAATTGTCAGCTCAGATGTTGGAAGGAGGGTGGCTCCCACAATGGGAAGCTACTAGTTGTGGGACCTTGGACCAATGCTTCACTTCACCCAGGCCTATACACCCCTCCCCCCTGTAAAATGAGGAAAGTTTTACATGGTGCGGAGGAGTCTGAGGGTTTAATAGTATGTAGTTGAAAGAGTCAGAATTAATTGAATGGCAACTGGTTTTCACCATTTGTCTCTTTGAAATTTTTTTTTGCTCTGTGCCATTTCTGACCACTCCCAAACCCTCATCTGATGAACCCATTGTTTCTTCAGACCCAGTGATTCCTTCCATAAGGTCTTGTTTGGGAGACATTCCAACTTTGTTCAGCTGGCTTTTCCTGTCTCAGTCACAATTCCTTACATGTCAATTGCACGTCTCAGGACAATCCCAGTTTCCTTCTTTCCAATACCTCGCTACTACCTCCAGGCATACAGCCCCCTGATGTTCATTTAACCCCAGGGAGAGACCAAGGTAAATGTTCTGAACCTGAGAGAAAATTAGGAAAAAACCAAGGTCAGTGCAAATTTGAAACAACAGTATAAAGTCCTTGAAGCATATTCACTTCAGAAAGGGAAACCTGACTCATAGCTGTTCAAGACTTGCTCCAGGAGGTGGCCTTTCTGAACCACCTTTCTAAGTCATGCAGGCTTTACTGTAGTGGCCTCATGACTGGCTGAACAGAGTGTCTAATACGTTTTCTATGAAGCAAATCTTTTTAAAAATGTGCCCACCAGCCCTTTCCTGTTGCCGCTAAGTTCATTGTGACTCATGGTGACCCTATAGAACTGCCCCCATAGGGTTTCCAAGGTTATCATCTTTATGGGAATAGACTGCTACAATTTTCTCCACTGGAGTGACTGGTGAGTTTGAACCAGTGACCTTTTGTACAGCAGCCAACTACTCCATAACCACTTGGCCACCCACCAGTCCTCACTGACTTGAAATTCATTTTGCAAAACTTCTGCAAAATGCTCAATATCGTTTTCTTGTTCTTGAGACCAGCTCACATGGCCAGTAGAAGGAGGATGCCATAATTCTGTCTTGGTGTTTTGTTGGGAATGTTCCAAATGAAGTGAATGTTTTTGTTGAGGTGTCCTTGCCAGAGGGGTGTGCTGGAGCCAGCTTGCACTAGCTCATAAAAATTCATCCTGGGCTGCTTTTTCCAATTCTAGGTAGTTAGTTTGAAGTTAGCCAGAGATACAAATCAGGACAGCGGCTTCTACTGCTTCTTCTTCTAATTAATTGTCTCCTTCCCCTTCTCCTCCTCTTCTCTTACTCTTTTTTCTGTTTAGTTTGGATATTAGCACACCTCTGCCCAGAGGTCTAGACAAGTCCTCCAAGATATCTACAGATCCTCATGACCAATTCTAAAGTCAAGCCCTCTTCCAGTCAACCAGTGTAATTTTGGACTCCCGCATCCCTCTTAATCCTATCACTATATCAAATATCACATCGTGGAACTCTGTCCTCTTTCTTGTTACCAGTTGCCACCCTACTTCTCTTCATGAGGTTTTGGTAAACTGGCTTTTTCTCTGAACCGTTGTCCATTTTACAGCATAGCCCTTTAATATTGCCTTACACTGTGCTCTGCTAACAGAACCTGCTGTCAGAATTCACAGGCAGTGTGGTCCACACGCCTCACCAGACTGTACCAGATGCATCACAAGTTAGTCCTCCCTTAACCAGTTCCCCAAAGGCCATGGTCACTTCATGCCATCCATTGTGAGAGGAAGGGGGCAGAGGGAAGTCAGCATGGAAAGAGACATTGTCCTTTGCCATTGCTAAACAAATCTCTCTTCCACACTGTTGCCTAAGCCATCAGTCTTGTGAGTGTGCTGTTAGAGCATGTGTGGGGCTCAACAGCTGCTCTATCTTTATAGCAAAACTGGCTCACCATTATCATAGCTGGGGCATCGCTCCTTCCTCTCAGTGCTATGCTGTGTCTTGTCTTCCAGGAGAATGGGCAGATGATCAGAGACATGGCCATGGTGTGTACTACTACATCAACAACGACACCTACACAGGAGAGTGGCTTTCTCATCAGAGGTTTGGTTTCCATCTTCAGCTTTGTACATTTATTCGTGTGATAAGACTATGATGATATTTCCCTTATATGGGAATCCCTGGGTAGTGCTAACAGTTAACGTGCTTAATTGCTAACCAAAGGCTCGAGGTTAGAGTCCACCAGAGGCACGTTGGAAGAAAGGCTCGGACATCCACTTCTAAAAAATCAGCCATGGAAAGAAAGCCCCACGGAGCACCATCCTACTTTAACATGCTGGGCTCTCCATGAGTTGGAGCTGACTCAGTGGCAGCTCCAATATATACACTTATTGGAGTTCTGGCGTGGTGCTGTGGGATAATGCACTGGACCATAAGTTTGGTTGGAACCCCAGTGTAGGCAGTTAAATTCACCAGCTGCTCTTTAGAAACTCTATACAGGGTCGCTATGCATCGGATCCGACTAGATGGCACTTAACAACAATGGTGGTGGCTATGTGCCGTGGAGTCAGTTCTGACTCATAGTGACCCTGTACAGGGTTTCCGAGGCTGTAAATATTTACGGGAGCAGAATGCCTCATCTTTCTCCTGTGGAACAGCTGGTAGTTTCAAACTGCTCACCTTGAGGTTCACAGCCTGATTTGTAACCACTACACTACCAGAGTTCCTTACACTTAACAACAATAAAACACACTAACTAAAAACAGAACCATGACAAAAGCCCATTAGTCCACACTGCCAGGCATTGTAAAACCTGTGGCTCAAGGCAAGCCTGCTGGATGGTAGTCACTGAGCATATGTGGACAGAGGGTCCTTAGCACTGTATGCCCTTGTCTCTCCTCAGTGGAGCATGTGAGTCTGACGCCCATGAACTCTGGGACATGAGGGCATGGGAGAGAACCACAGCTCCCAATAGTACCAGATGTCTCTTCCTTCTGGGAACCTGCTGATGCTCAGGAAGGCTACCTCTGACCCACATCTGTTAACGCTGCTCCTATGTTTGGGCATACCAAGCAGGAGGCACCATCAGCGAAAGAAACCAAACAGCTGGCCTGTGAGTCTGCTTGGCCAGCCTCAACAAAGACCACCCTCAAGTTGCATGGCTGTGCTATAAATCTTGAGGGTTTTCATCAACATGTCCTTTGTCTTAACTAGGCACGGGCAAGGCACCTATTTCTATGCAGAAACAGGCAGCAAGTACGTTGGCACCTGGGTAAATGGACAGCAGGAAGGTGCAGCCGAGCTTATCCATCTGAACCACAGGTACCAGGGCAAGTTCTTGAACAAAAATGTAAGTCAATTGGAAGAGATGTTTGCCAATGCCATAAGCAATGCCCCCTCCCTGAGGCAGTGAAAATCACTCAGGGGGCTCTCTCTTGCCCTCTCCAAACATGGGGAACCAGACAACCACACTTTGCTCTGAGAAGTCCTGCTTTTGAATCTGATACCCACAGAGGGGCAGAGTGGTGTGTTGTAGCTTTATACACAACGGGTGTCTTAGCCTCTTTCTGTTTGTTTTCCTTCGCATTGGTGAATCCACCCAAGACCACTGATCATTGATTGCAATTCAGCATGTAGGGGTTTTGACCTTCTTTCTTCTTGAGGGGGCACTGCTAGAGCCTGGTGGGGAGAGACCCATGAACTTTTTCCTCATGCTGCAGGCCAGTGGCCTTCCGCAGACAGTGGTGGGATTTGGGGGTGTCTAGCTCACAATACCAATGGTTGGTCACTTCTGTCTTGAGGAATCTGTGACTATGCCTTTCTCATATGGGGCCCTAGGATGATGCAGAGAAACCCGGGATAATTCATAACCGATATCACAGGCATTTGTGGGTTGAGAGGAAACTCCATGAAGAAAGAGCTTGCTGAGCATTGAACTGAATGTAGTCTTTTCAGTCTTCTTTTAAAACTCAGTTCTCATTTAAATACAATTTATAGAGTCTACTTTTCATCTTCATGAACAAAAAAACTCATATAGATCTCGAGTCCTGGTGTGGTGCTGTGAGTTAATCCACCAGACTGCAAAGCTGTTTGAACTGCAAGGTCGGCAGTTCAAGCTCACCAGCTGCTCCTTGGAAACCCTATACAGGGTCGCTATGGGTCAGAATTGACTCGACGGCACTCAACAACAACAAAATATAGCCTCTGGAGTCCTGGTGTGGCTCTGCGGGTTAATGCACCGGACTGAAAAGTTGTTTGCACTGCAAGGTCAGCTGTTCAAGCTCACCAGCTGCTCCTCAGAAACCCTATACAGGGTGGCTATGAGTCAGAACCGACTCGACGGCATTTAATAACAACAAAATATAACATATATGTAATGCCCATCAAAATTCCTACAGGAGTTTTTTGGGAATGGGAAGCTGGAAGAGAGAAAAAAGAATTGACAAAAAATCTGGAAGATTCAGTAAAACTGCTGAAGTGTATAACTGGGAACCTCAAGAGATTTGGTTCCTTGGTTTGGAGGTTTAAGGTCATTTTGTGAGGTATCCCAGTTAATTGGCCTAAAATGTGTGTAGTGCTCTGTTCTGCCTCCTAATTCTTTTTGCAGTGCCTGGGGTCTTAAAAGCTTGCAAGAGGCCATCCACTGCTCAGTTGTTGGTCTCTGTTCACCTGAAGCAACAGAGTAAGGGAGTGAGGACTAGGAGGAGGGTATGGAAGGTGTGGCTGATTGTCTTCATGAATAACTGCTTCCTTTGCCACAAGACTGAACTGGATTGTGCCTGGCTACCATCTCTGGTAGCGTAGTAGTTACAAATCGGGCTGTGAACCTTAAGGTCAGAAGTTTGAAACTACCAGCTGTTCTGTGGGAGAAAGATTAGGCTTTCTGCTCCTGTAAAGATTTACAGCCTCGGAAACACTGTACAGGGTCTCTATGAGTCAGAACCGACTCCACAGCACATCACCACCACCACCACCACCATTACTGAAAATTTTGATGTTCTATAGTAGGAGTCCTGGTGTGGCACTGTAAGATAAGCACTAGACCACAAGGCTGGTTTGAACCACACAGTTGGCGGTTCAAATCCACCAACTGCTGCTCCGAAACCCTTTGCAGGGTCACTATGAGTCAGAACCAACTCAACAACATATGGAATCAAAGTGGCAACAGAAGCTCAAAGGGTTAGATAGAAACTTCAGGGGACAGTGAGTGCTTTTATGTCAATGGGGGAGGAACGACTCAGAAAAAGAGGGTGAAGAAGGCTGCACAACTTGAACAATGTAATCAGTGTCCCTGAATTACATGTAGAAACTGTTTAACTGGTATACGTTTTGTTATATCTATTTTCAACAACAAAATAAAACTAGTGAAATGCCTAGACCATCTGAAAAATAAAGTAAAAATGGAGACTTTATTCCACTAGTTACTTAGAAACTTCAGTGTTATCTGAATAATACACGAATACATCCTAAATATAAAATATTAGGATAGCAGCGTTCTCCCTGGACCTCTCTCCTCTTTACTATCCTCCCTCTGCCGTCTCCTTCTTTCTTCTCCAACTCTTTCTGTGCATTGTGCATACACACACACATCTCACGCAGCATAATGGCTTGGGGTTTTAATTACATAAATAGGATCCCACTATAATGGAAAGATCCCTAGGTGATGCTAACAATTTATACTCAGCTGCTAACCTAAACATTAACAGTTCAAACCCAGACTGTGGTACCAAGGAATAAAGGCCAGAGATCTGCCTCCATTTAGATTATAGCTAAGAAAACTTGTAAGTAGATTCCAGGCCTTTATTTCTAGTCTTAGTCTGGGCACTCTACTGAAACCTGTTCAAAATCATAGCGACATGCAGGCCTACACTGACAGACAGCTGGTGGCTATGCATGACGTACCTTAGCAAGGGAGTCGAACTTAGATCTCCTGAATGGAAGGCCAGGATTCTGCTGCTGAATCACCACTGCCCACAAAACATACTGTAAAGCTTCAATAATTAAAACAGTGTGGTACTGTGATGCTGCTGTGAACTGTTGAGTTGGTACCAACAAATAGCAAACATGTGTAGGTTTTCTGAGGCTGTAAATCTTCGTGAGAGTCCTGGTGTGGCTCTGTGGGGTAAAGCACTGGACTGCAAGGTTGGTTTGAACCAAATGTCAGTGGTTCAAACTCACCAGCTACTCCTTGGAAACCCTATATATGGTTGTCATGAGTTAGAACCGCCTTGATGGTACTTAACAGTAACAAATCTTTACAGGAGTAGAAACCTTCATCTTTTCCCCATGATTCTGGGATAAAAATATTAAAATGAATGAAGTGCCTAAGTAAGTCCTGACACATTCAAGTATATAAAATAATGTAGCCTTTGTTGAGGCTGTGATTTCATATTAGCAGTAAAAAGGTGGCAGAGTAAAGAAATTGTGCAGCGACAACTTGATGACTATTTGGCAGAAGAGACAGCCCAGTGCCCTGTCTGACTTGTCTGGGGCTACTGGTGCAAATTAGCAGAGACTGGGTGACTTAAAGTAACAGAAATTTATTCTCTGAGCACTGTTATAGGAATGAAAATTAGGGGTGCCTCATTCTGATCAAAAGACATGTGCACTTTTGTCTGGAAATTCTACTTCTGAAAATTAACCCTAAGGAAATTCTAAGGGGTATTTTAAAGATAAATTAAGATTTCACCCAGAATATGTTTATAAGGAGCTCTGGTAGCATAGTGGTTACGACTCAGACTGCTAACCACAAGGTTGGGAATTCAAACCCACCAGCTTCTCCTCAGAAACCCTGTACACGGTTGCTATGAGTTGGAACTGACTCGATGGTGCTGAACAGCAAACACATCATCTGTGAATAGAGATAATTTTACTTTTACTTTTCCAATCTTTTATTTCTTTTTCTTAACCTTTTGCTCTAGGGGGAACTTATCATACAATATTGGATACAAGTGGTGAGAGTGGGCACCACTGTTATGCTCCTGATTTTAAGGCAAAAGCTTCAGTCTTTCTCCGTTAAGTATAATATCAATGGTTGGCTTTTCATACTTGCCCTGAAACATACTGAGGAATTTTCCTGCAATTCTAATTTTCTTTAGGATTTTCATCAAGAAAGATTGTTGATTTTATCAAATGCTTTTGCTGCATCATAAAGATGATCATGGGGGTTCTTTTCCTTTGTTCTAATGATGTGGTGGAGTCCTGGTGTGGTGCTGTGGGTTAATGTGCTGGACTACGAGGTCGGTTTGAACCACGAGGTTGGTTCAAGCTCACCAGCTGCACATCGGAAACCATGTGCTTGACAGCACTTAACAACAGCAACAGTTGATGTGGTGTGCTAAATTGATTGATTTTCTAATGTTGGACCATCCTTGTGTTATTGGAATAAATCCCACTCGGTCATGATGTATGACTCTTAATGTGCTGATGGATTTTGTTAGTATTTTTGCATCTCTTATGCATAAGAGAAGGAACCCTGGTGGCACTGTAGGATAAGCACTGGACTGCTAACTGCAAGGTGAGCAGTTCAAGTCCACTAACTGCTCCTCAGGGGAAAAATGAGACTTTATACTCCGTAATGATTTACAGCCTTGGAAACCCTATACAGGGTTGCTATAAGTTGGAATTCACTAGATAAAGTGGATTTGTTTTCGGTTTGATTTTTTTTATTCATAATTGGCCTGTAATTTGCTTGTGATGTCTGGTATCTGGTTTGAGTATCAGAGTTATATTTGTTTCATAGAATGAATTAGGGAGTATTTCTTCTTATTCTACCTTTTGGAAGACTTAAAAAGCAGTATTGGTATAAGTTCTTCTCTAAATGTTTGGTAGAATTCCCCAGTAAAGCCATTTAGTTTAGAAGTCTTTTTTTAGGAGGTCTTATGTTAATGATTCAATACCTTCATGTATTAAGGATATTTTAAGAATTAATACTACTTTACGAGTGTCAGTTTTAGTAGGTGGCAACCTTTTAGGAATTTGTTCATTTCATCTAGGCTATCAGTTTGTTGCCATATAATTGTTCATAATATTCTGTCATAATTTTCTTTATTTCTCTTGGGTCAGTTGTATCCTCTCTTTCATTTTTAGCAGTCTAGTTAAAGATTTATCAGTTTCATTGATCTTTTCAAAGCACCAACTTTTGGTTTTGTTGATTCTCTCCATTGTTTTTCTGTTTTCAATTTATTTATTTCTGCTCTGATCTTTGCTATATCTTTCTCTTAGTAGGTTTTTTTTTTGTTTTTGTCTTCTCTTTCTAGTTCCAGAGTTGTAGTGTTAGGCAGTTAATTTGATGTTTTTCTTCCTTTTTTATGTAGGCGTTTATTACTAAAAGTTACCCTCTGAGTCTTGCCTTCGCTGCAGCCCATAAATTTTGATGTGTTGTGTTTCATTTTAATTTGAGCCTAAGAAATTGGTGATTTCTTCTGTGACCCATTGGTCGCTTAGCAGTGTGTCGTCTAATTTTCATGTTTGTGCAATGAATACATCATTTTTATAAAGAGATAAAGTACTGCTAAGAATTTCAAACGTAAAGAAAACAGGACATGTTGTGGTTTACAATATTGTCAAGTTCATTTCAACTTAGAGTAGAACTGCCCTATAGGGCTCCTAGGCTGTACTCTTTATGGGAGCAGATCATAGGTCTTCTGTGGAGCACTTGGTCGCTAACAAAAACTGTTGGTGGGCTGAACCTTTCAGTTAGTATCCGAGTGCTTGAATCTTTGCACCACCAGGGCTCCTGAATAGGAAATATACTTGACGACTTTATTAGTTAATAGCTCATCAGGCATTTTTGAATCATTGTACTATGCCTAATCATATGATTTTAGCTGAGTTTTATTAGTGGTTGTTGTTGTTGTTGTTGTTAAGTGCCATCGAGTCGGTTCCGACCCATAGCGACCCTGTACAGGGTTTCCGAGGGTGTAAATCGTTACGGGAGTAGAAAGCCTCATCTTTCTCCCGTGGAGCGGCTGGTAGTTTCGAACTGCTGACCTTAAGGTTCGCAGCCTAATTCGTAACCACTATGCTACCAGAGCTCCTTTTTATTAGTGGTAGTACTCTGTATTTGATATTGGATTTTGACATGATGAAATGTCTCTTGGGTTCTTTTGCTTGCAGCCTGTTGGCCCTGGAAAATATGTGTTTGATATTGGATGTGAACAGCATGGTGAATATCGCTTGACAGATCAGGTAAGTTGCAGAGTATATATTATTTCCTGCATTCATAGGTAAAAGAGCTGTTCAGTTACATATAATGTACATATAAGGTTAGAGGTGATTTGAATCAAAGGTTATGCCAATTTTCAGGAACTTTTGCTTTTCCACTTCCTTTCTTTAACTGCATGCATAGTATAGAACTAAATTGCTAAAACCAAACCACAGCATTTCATAGTTATTGCTGAAAGCACTATGAATGAGCTGATCCTGAGTTGGGGAGTTACGGCCAGTGTGAGGTCCTTGGGAAGCACAAACAGCTTTCACGTGACTATTAACTTGAGCATTGGTGGTTTGAACTGTCCCAGCGGTGCTGCAGAAAAAAGACCTGGCTATCTGCTTCAGTAAATAGTACAGCCAATGGAGTTCCACTCTGTAACACATAGAACACCATGAGTCAGAATCGACTTAACAGCAACAGCTTTTATGTGTGTGTGCATGTATGTGTAAGTCTTAGAAATGACAATTAAAATGTGTAACGTGGTGTCACCACAGTCACCCAATAAATGTTAGCATTTCAGGGGTGTAGCTAGCAAGATCCATTGCAACCCTTACATTATCCTGTAGGTAGTTGTTAACTAGTCTGGTCACTGAATAATGTCATCCAAGTGCTAAAACCCAACTCCAAACCTCTCCTTTTCTCCTTCACATCTAGTATTCCAGACTGATGTTTACACAAACGTTAGTGAGTTTGCATTTTTCAACCTAAAATAGGAAAAAGGGGAAGAGGAAGAGGAGGAGGAAACATCAGCAACTGTTGTTCCCAAATGGAAAGCGACTAAAATCATGGAGTTGGCCCTGTGGACACCAAGGATTCCTGAAGAGCCACCACCTGCAGACATACTTTTTGGTCAAGAAGAGGTCCTGGGGGCTGAGGGTATGTGTCTCCAGGCTTTCTGGGAACAGACTCTGTGCAGATTAGTGTGCAGGCTGTTCATTAGGAAGCACCTTTGGAAACAGCCTCTGAGAGGTGACAGAGACTTTCAAGGAAGAGCTAGGAGGAAAGGGGATGAGGTAGGATTGGCTGGATGGAGATGCATCCCCCACCACCTCATAGTTCTCCATGGATAGAACGCTCTTTCTTTCTGTCTCATCATGATCAATGGCTGGGTGTGTGCTTCCCAGGTCGAGGTGTCCTTGGGTACAGGTGCTCACAACATCTGGGGAAAAGTCCTTTTAAGGACCAGGAACCCTTCTCCATGGCCATCATGGTGCCCTCTGAAAAGCTCTTCAAGCACCAAATAACATTAACAAGGTCATACAGGGTAGGAGTCTTTCCACTGAAAGTAAAGGAAAGCCAACTCAATTTGGTCTAAATAAAATGGTGATGATAGCATTTATTGGTTCTTTTCATGGCCAAGCCCAGGGTGGAAATAGCCCCAGGCATGGCTGGACTAGGTCTCTGGATGGAGTCTTGGCTTCTCTTGTAGCCCACCTCTTCCTTCTAGAGGGAATGGTCACCACATTGCTGTCCAGTCAGTGCGTGGACCCCAAAGCAGAGGTCTTCTCTTTCTCAATATTTTCACTAGTACTGGGATGGGATTAGATTTATTGGACCAGCTCAGGTCACATGCACCTCCCTGAGCTATTCAGGGCAACAGGGGACGTGTGCTCTGATGGCCAGGCCCAGGGTGGAGCTGGGGGGACCTAGGGTAGGAGGGATGCCCCCAAAGGGAAAGCACAGTGCTCCTGTCTGACAGAGTCGGTGGTGGACAGGCAACGATGCAGTCTGCAGCTTACCTTCTACCAATTTCCTCAGTTGTATTGCCCTCTGTTATACATATTTCATGGGTCCCTAGGAGTGCAAATAACTTGCACTCAACTATTAACCTAAAGGTTGGTGGTTCAAACCCACCCAGTGGCACTACAGAGGACAGCCCTGGCATTCTGCTTTCCTAAAGATTACAGCCAAGGAAACCCTACTGAGTTCACGTCTACTCTGTTATGCATGGAGATGCACGCACTGGAGTAGACTCAACAGCAATCAGTTATTTGTTTTGTTTGTTTTCTAGGTGGAGACACTGGAGAGGACATCAAACCACTGACGGATGTCTCTGAGGGTGAGAACGAATCATTAAGAGCTGGAGATGAAGACTTAGATACCAGCAGGGAGGAGGGCCTGGACTACGGCCAGGATGAATTCCGATATGACTTAGATCATGGTGAGGATGAGGGCAAGGGAGACAGTGAGGGTGCTTACCACTGTGTGATGAGGAGACATCCAGGAGCAAGGCCATTGTGGGTCAAGCCCCAGGGACTCTGGAGAGCATCTGAAGACCCACTGTGCACTCATGTGGAGTCGGGGGAGTCTGTAGTCAGAAGGGGACTTCTCCCTTACATACTCCTGCAAACCTGCTGACTCAGTCAGGGAACTACCAGGTTCAATGCCCACTGTTCTTTCAATCCCTTCCTGATCTCCATCCTTGGGCCACAAGCAAGTTAGAAATCAGCAGCAGCTTTTTAGTTGATCACATGGTTTTTACCATGGCTCAGTCGCAGGAGCACAGCACAGGGCTTACAGTGATGTGATGGATCAGGGCTTCAAACTGGTTTGAACTGCTTTAGTCATGGCGGACAACGCAGTGTAATTGAAACAGACCCGAATTTGTAAAATGTGTGTCTATTGGAATAATAACTGGATTGGGCAGGATGGAGTACCTAGTAAGCAAGATAGGCACAGGTTTACTTTTGCTTACCTACCAATCTGTAAGAAACATTACTTATAGATTAGTAAGTAAGTATAAGTAAACCCATGTATACTTTGCTTAGGGGTACTCCGTTCCTGTCAGAGACCGTAAATTTGAAAAGAAACTTTGATTCTGTAGGAGGGAGCTGTGCGGTTAGAAGAGAGACAGAAACCAATCCCAACTAGAAGCACACTCTTTGACGTCCTGAAAAAAGTGTGGTTGTTCACTACAGATTAGAAAGCATCAGTAACCCTGTGCTTACCTTGATTATTGGGTATTCTGACTCTCATTGTTGTTGTTAAGTGCTGTGGAGTTGGTTCTGACTCATAGCGACCCTGTGTAGGGCTTCTGAGGAGCAGCTGGTGAGTTTGAACTGCTGAACTTGCAGCTCTAACTGACCTTGAGGTTTTGTGCTTATCCTACGGCACCACACCAGGACTCCATTTAGTTACTAGTGACGGTGGTGGTGGTGGTGTGCCATGGAGTCAGTTCTGACTCATAGCAACCCTGTATAGGGTTTCTGAGGCTGTAAATCTTTCCAGGAACAAGAAAGTCTCATCTTTCTCCCGTGAAACAGTTGATAGTTTTGAATTGCTGACCTTGAGGTTAGCAGCTCGACACATAACCACTATGCTACCAGGGTTTTAACCATTCCAGGGTTAAAACCCTGAAATAGGAGACTCTGAAGAAGCCAGGTGGACCCTTTGAGAAGCTTAATGTGGGAGATTGGATTACTGTGGAGAGCATTCAACATTTCCAACCCATTCAAATCCCTGCTGTTGGCCACCATCTTTGGGCAGGGCACAGCTGTTGTTCAGGAGATTTGGTTGCTATGCAATGCTCATGCATAAGAGGAAGAATGAATTTTTAGCAAGGTGTCATTCAATAATTTTTCCCATTCTGGCTATTGTTCCTGTACACTCCATTTTATATATCTGTGTTTTATAGTCTGTTCTGGTTTCACTTTGTTAGTCATAACTAAACTGCTGGAGCTTGGATTTGACCTCAGGTCTGACTGCAGCTTCAGTCCCTGGAAACTTTAAAAATCTTTCTTCAGAGAGAGGATCCACTGTCTTTTAACCCAATTTCTTGAACAAGATTTAAAGCTGATACCTTGGTTGGGAAGGGAGGAGTGTCTGGAGACACGTTCGGTCATGAGACCACAGGGGTCTCACTCTGGTTCCAGATGATGGTGCCCTGATCAGTAGAGTTTGTTGTAAATTACAAGAATAGGCATCTCACATATTTTTTATGATAGTACCTGGGAAAAAGTTTCAAAACACACATAGATTTATATGTTTTAAACACACATAGATTTAGGCTTTTTTTTTTTTTTTAGAATGTTGTTGTTAAGTGCCATCTAGTCATTTCCAACTCATAGCGATCCTGTATAGGTTTCTAAGGAGCAGTTGGTGAGTTTGAATCACCAACCTTGTGGTTTAAAGTGACCTTATGGTTGAGTGCTTATCCTACAGCACCATACCAGGACTCCTTCTTTAAAATAACTATCCTTGTTGTTGTTGTTGTTATGTGCCGTGGAGTCGGTTCCGACTCATAGCGACCCTGTACAGGGTTTCCGAGGCTGTAAATCTTAACGGGAGCAGAAAGCCTCATCTTTCTCCCGCGGAGCAGCTGGTCGGTTCGCAGCCCGATTCATAACCACTACGCTACTACTGTAAAAGTATACAAAGACCACATAAAGCCTTGGTCGAGGATGGGAACTCGGTTGGAATCTAGTTTTACCAGTTACTATATTAGCTCTTGGACTGCTGGTGTGGTGCTGTGGATCAGTACTGGACTGTGAACCATAAAGTTGGCAATTCAAACCCACCAGCTGCTCCTCAGAAATCCTATACGACTCCATTATGAGTCGGAACCAACTTGAGGGCACTTAACAACAACAACAATACTAGCTGTGTGACATCTTACCATCTCTGCTTCCCTTGCCTGCACACTGTGAATAATAATAACACTATATCATGGACACATTCATTGGTGGCCGAGTGGTAGAATTCTTGCCTTCCATAAAAGAGAACTGGGTTTGATTCCCACCCAATGCAGCTCATGTACAGCCATCACTTGCTTGTCGGTAGATGTTTGTGTGTTGCTGTGATCCAGATTAAATGGACTAGAAAGAAAGACTTGGAAATCTACTCCTGAAAACCAGCCAATAAAAACTCTGTGGATCACAGTCAGCCAATCCATAACCAGTCATGGGGCTGGTGCAGGACTGGCAGTGTTTCATTCCGTTATGCATTGGATTGTCATGCAATGGGTGGGAAGTGCCGACCGGATGTCAGCTGACAAGGTCTCACAGGTATATAATGTCCCAAGGATTATGTGAGGATTGAACGGGCTAGCATATGTACAGTATCTAAAGCAATTCTTGACACATAGTAATGATCAATAAATTTCAGTTCATATAGATGTCCTGGTAGTATAGTAGACTATGAAGTGGGGTGCTAACTCTAAGATCAGCAGTTTGAGACTACCAATGTATCTGCTGGAGAAAGATGAGACATACTTCTTCTATAAAGATTTTTAGCCTCGGAAGCTCTATACAGGGTTGCTTGAGTTGGAACCGACTTGGTGGTACACAATTGTGACCACCACCATAGTGAAGGAGCTTTGGTGAGCCAGTGGTTAAAGAACTCATCTGCCAACTACCTGAAAAGTTTGTAGTTCAAACCCACCAGTCAGTCACTCCAAGGGAGAAAGATGTGGCAGTCTGCTTCCATAAGATAGTTGTCAAGTACCTCTACTTGGTTCAAACTCATAGTGATCCTCTATAAGGTTTCCAGGGAGTGGCTGATGGGTTTGAATCACCACCTTGTGATTCAAATCAACCTTACAGTTGAGTACTTATCCTACAGCACCACACCAGGACTCCTCCATAAAGATTGTTTTTAAGTGCCATTGAGTTGTTTCCGACTCATAGCAATCCTGTATAGGGTTTCCCCTGTATAGGGATTCCAAGGAGCGACTGGTGAATTTGAATCACTGACCTTGCAGTTCAAACTGACCTCTTGGTTCAGTGCATTAGGCCATATGCGCTCCACACCAGGACTCTTAAAGATTGTTGTTATGTGCCATTGAGTCGATGCTGACCCATAGCGACCCTGTATAGGGTTTCCGAGGAGTGGCTGGTGAGCTTGAACTGTCGACATTGTGGTTCAAACAACTTTGCAGTTCAGTGCAAACCAGGACTCCTAAAGATTAGCAGCCTTGAAAACCCTACACTGTTCTACTCTGTGTCCTGTAGGCTTGATCTGTGTGGGAATCGGCTTGATAGCATGGCTTTGGTTTGGGTTTACATAAACAGTGAACATTACTGTGTACTGACACTGCTTGCCCTGGTGGGTGAGGAGTGGAGTGTGAACCAGGAAATCAGTGATATTACTGCAGTGTGACTTCTGCATGTTGGGACTACTGAGAAGGGGTGAATGACTCACTGGGCAGGACCAGGAAATAGCCCCAAGAGTGCAAATAGAGGTGAGTTGAGTTGAGAGGAGGAGGTGTGGTAAGGTGTGGGCAAGACCAGAAAGGAAGTTCCAGGCAGAGAGGAAAGGGGGGGGGGGAGGGGGAGGGCAGAAGGTTGACCAACTTGACAGAGAGAGATTGAAGGGAGAAGGCTCTTTCTGATGGGCCTTCCCCAAACTCCATCAATAGAGCTTGGATCTGATCCTGAGCACAGAGGGAGTGGGGGTCCATGATGAACCTGGTGAGGGAAGTGTTTGAATCATGTGTCTTTCAAGAACTTTTGGGGCCTGTGAAGGAGGGATGTACTAAAACAACAAGGCTGGGGGACAGGAGGAGGGGGACAGGCATGAGCAATGTCAACGGTGTAGAATCCCTCGAACTGGACTGAGAGAGAAAGGGCAGAGTCAGTGGCCCACAGAAGCAGCTGGCATTAGAGCCCAAAGATTCATGAAACAGCCTTAGGGGAAAAGATTAGTTAGCGCCTTCACTCTGTGGTGTTGCTCCCCAGGGGACATTTGGCAACATGGTGCTATAGGTTCAAACCCACCAACTGCTCTGCTGGAGAAAGATGAGACTTTCTGCTTCTGTAAAGATTTACAGCCTTGGAAACCCATACAGGGCAGCCATGTTGTTGTTAAGTGCCATAGAGTCAGTTCTGACTCATAGTGACACTGCATAGGGTTTCCGAGGAGCAACTGGTGAGTTTGAACCTTGCTGTTTGGACTGACCTTTCTGTCCAGTGCATTATCTTACAGTGCCACACCAGGACTCCTTAGGGTTGCTATGAGTAGGAATCAACTCCATGGCAGTGAGTGTAGAGAGTGTTTGAGGTTGCTATCGCCCTCTAGTGGCGAAAGGCCAGGGATGCTGCTAAACCTCCTATGATGCATAAGACAGCCCCAAACAGGAAAAAATGTTCTGGGTTAAATTGTCCTGGTGTGGTGCTGTGAGATAAAGCACTGGACCGCAAGTTCGGTTTGAACCACAAGGTTGTCAGTTCAAACTCACCAGCTGCACCTTGGAAACACTATACAGGGTCATGATTGAGTTGAAACTGTCTCAACAGCACTAAACAACAGCAACAAATTTATATTGTCACTAGGTTGAGATGCCCTGGCTCTAATTTGGAAACAATGACAGTGGACAAGACATTTTATCAAAAATTTCATGTCTATCAAGATTTCCACATTATATCTGAGGTTCACCCTATAATTTTTTCTTTCACAATAAATACCTTATGAGAGTTAGTTTACTTAACAATAAAAAATGATTCTAAAGTTTTTAAAGCATTTAATTATAACATCTTGTATGAATATGGGAGATATATGTTTTTTATTAATATAAGGTTCATTGTATGCAGATGTATGGTAATTACTGAGCTCACTCTCATTTACATGAATAATTCTTTCTTAGTACCTGCTTTGAATATATCTTTTGCTTAGTTTATTACTGGCCCCAAAAGAAAAACTATAAAATCTACATAATGTAAAATTTAACCTTCCATTTTTACCTGACAAATGCTTAATATCTATAATATTGTTTAGTACAAAAGATCTACTGGTGATTAAAGAATTTTTGAATAGGAAGAAAAAAGATAATATGAAATATACTCATATTTCCCTTTTCTTCACAGGAAATGTTAATTTTGAAGAGGAAGAAAGTAGACAATCAGAATTACTAGAGTAATATGCATGCAGCAAAAGAAATAGGAGATTTGACTGCAAAAATTCCTCTGTTGGACAGTTCACGTTAGTCAATTATTAGCCTTCCATACTTTTTTTTGTTGTTATTAAGTTGGTTTATAATTACAGTTGTAAATAAATACCTTCTTTATGAATTAGCCTTTGCTTCAAATTTGTTAAACCGAAAGGTATCAGTCATTTTACCATGAATTTTTTTGGTGGTGTACATTGAATAATGCAGAAAGCGTCAAAAGAAGATGGAAGGAATACACGGAGTCACTGCACCAAAAGAAATGGCTGATGTCCAACCATTTCAAAAGGTAACATATGGAAGGAAAAAGCACAAGGTACACTGAAGACATTGGCGAAAAAACAAGGCTCCAGGAATTGATGGAATACAAATTGAAATCTTTCAACAAACTGATGCAGCACTGGAGGCACTCACTCACCTATACTAAGAAATTTGTAAGATCAACAAATTGCAAGAGATCCATATTTGCTAATTCCAAAGAAAGGTGATCAAATAGAATGAGGAAATCACAGAACAATATCATTAATATTGCATCCAAGTAAAATTTTGCTAAAGATAATCCAAAAATGACTGCACCAGTATATTGACAGAGAGAGATCTTTCAGAGGTTCAAACTGAATTTAGATGAGGTCATGGAATGAGGGATATCATAGCCAATGTCAGCTGGATCTTGGTTGAAAGCAGAGAATACCAGTGCTTTATTGACTATGAAAAGGATTTCAATTGTGTGGATCTTGAGAAACTATGGACAACATTGTGAAGAATGGGTATTCCAGAACATTTAATTGTGCTAATGTGGAACCTATACATAGGCAGTTGTTTGAACAGAACAAGGGGAAACGGAATGGTTTAAACATCAAGAAAGTTGTGCACCAGGGTTTATTCATTTACTGTACTTATTCAGTCTATATGCTGAGTGAGTATATATTCCAAGAAGCTGGATTATATGAAGAAGCACTTGACATCAGGATTGGAGGAAGACTCATTAACTAACAATTAGTGATATGCAGACGATACAACCTTGCTTTCTGAAAGTAAAGAGAACTTAAAATACTTACTGATGAAGATCGAAGACCACAGCCTTCAGCATGGGTTGCGCCTCAGTGTAAATAAGACACAAATCCTCACCATTGGACCAATAAATAACATCATGATAAATGGAGAAAAGATTGAAGTTGTCAAAGATTTCATTTTTCTTGGATCCACTATCAACACTCATGAAAGCAGGAGTCAAGTAATCAAACGACATATTGCATTAGGCAAATCTGTTGTACAAGAAGACCTCTTTAAAGTGTTCAAGAGCAAAGATGTCAGTTTGAGAACTAAGGTGCACCTGACCCAAGCCATTGTATTTTCAGTAGCCTCATATGCTTGTGAAAGTTGGACAGTGAATAAGGAAGATAGTAGAAAAATTGATGCATTTGAGTTATGGTGTTAGAAAAGAATATTAAAAGTGCCATGGACTGTCAGAAGAACAAACCAATCTGTGTTGTTTAAGTACAGCCAGAATGCTCCTTTGAAAACAGAATGGTGAGACTTCCTCTCTCAGACTTTGGGCATATTATAAGAAGGGACCATCCCTGGAGAAGGACAGGATGCTTGGTAAGGTGGAGGGTCAGCAAAAAAGAGGAAGACCCCCAATGAGATGGAATGGCGCAGTGACAGCAGCAATGAACTCAAACATAACAACAATTGTGGGGATTGCATAGGACCAGGCAGTGTTTAGTTCTTTTGTGCATAAGGTTGCTATGAGTCAGAATCAACTTGATATGGTACCTAACAACAACAACCAAGAAAAATGTTATAAAACTAACTCTACAGAAGATGATTAATGGAAGTAGACTTTTAACTGAGCTAGTGTGGGATCATACTATACTAAAGATTCCTTTCCAAAATATCCATCAAGTGAGTTAGTTAGTCACGTACAATGTAAGGATTATTGTGTGCAATAAGAGCCTAACAACCGCCATTGAAGTGTGGTGCTCTGCCCCATGTCCTCATGGACATGCCCTCTGCCTGGCCATCAATCTTGATGGGAAGCTCCCTGACAGGGGTACTTGCACACAGGCATAGCACAGGGCTGTCTGCTGGGTGGCTTTGGCTTATTGTCTACACTTTTTGGGTCAGTTAGAATCGGGTTGTGAACCGCAAGGTCAGCAGTTCGAGACTACCAGCTGTTCTGCGGGATAAAGATGAGGCTTTCTGCTCCTGTAAAGATTTACAGCCTTGGAAAACAGGGTCGCTATGAGTTGGAACCGATTCCACAGCACATAACAACAACAACAAACTGGGTTGGAAGTTGACACCTAGACCCCATTCACATTTCTTGAGTACTGGTTCATGCGAGGCCCTCCCCACAACTAGTTAACCCCAGGCGATTTAGTCAGGCTTCTCATCTTCCCTGGCTTCAGTTCACCTACCCTATCTCTGTCCCCAGGATTACTGAAAGGATAAGGATCTCAGTTTCCTAGATATCACAAGTGGGTGGCTTTAATGACAAAAAACATTATTTTCACATAGTTCAGAAGACTGTAAATCTAAATCAAGGCTTGACTCAAGGGGGAAGTCCTTCTTTGTCTATTTCAACTTTTAAATCACTGTTGTTGAGTCTGTTCCAACTCATAGTGATCCTATGTAGGTTTATGAGGCTATAAACCTTTATGGGAGCAGAGGGTCTCATCTTTCTCCTGTGGAGCACTTGGTGGATTCGAATTGCTGACCCTTTCTTTGATTAGCAGCCCAA